TCTTCTGTCCTGTCTGTGCGAAGACCTCATCTTCAACGAGTGTGGCTGGGTCCAGGACGTCCCCGCCAATGCTGTGTAGTTTTGTTGGGCATCGCGGCACAACGTATGTGTGCCACTTGATAGGCGTCTCGACTTGGTGGGCGCCGAGGCATTCCGCCAGCTTTGCCTTACTTGTAAGTAGTCTTTCCTGTATTTGCTTGTTTCGCGGCTTCAGAGAGTAACCTGTGCTGATATGGTAGACGTGGGGAAGGTCCGCTAGCCCCAGGCCAACGGCCTTACAGACGATCTGTCGTACGGCGAACGGTGCGATCTTCCGAGCGGCCGCTAAGCTTTCTTCCGGGACGCGGGCAAAGATGCGGAGGTCCTCCTTCGGCTGCGCCTGCGGCTGATCCTCGGCGGGGAGTGTGGCCTTCGGGCGGGCAGAGCTCTGGCAGCTCTGGCCGCTCCGGGTCGCCGCAGTGGTGTTGCCCGCCATCGGTGCGACGACAGCCGCCCAACTCCGGGCCGCTATTGGGCTTGTCTCGTGATTGATCAGTCTCTTGAGGGTTTGAATGACATAGGCAGTGGCTTCTTTCGCGATCTGCTTTCTAGAACCGTCAAAGCTGGCGACAACGCTGTCGACGGACCGTGCAATGGTCAGAAAGACGTCTTTCCGTGCCTCGTACTGTCTAGCTTCTTCTGCAAGGGCTGTCAAGACGGACCCTGTGGCAGATCCGCTCGGAGCAGATGCGGTAGAGGCTGCGGGCCCCTCGGCCGAGGTAGGGGCGTCGGTGGTGGCATCAAGCTGGCTTCCCGTTAGGCTGGGCCGGGTCGGCTGTGCCTCGGCGTCGCGGCGTCGCTTAGCTCTTGAGGTGGGGTTCGGCTCCGGAGGTGTCCCGGAGCCTGGTTCGGGGTCGGCTTGGTCGGCCGACATCAGTCCGGTGCCCGACGGCGGCTGTGAGGCCATCGCGGATGCGGGCTCCGGCAAGGGGAGGTGAAGAGTTTTCGGCTGTTAGTAATTTGGTGGTAGGCTCACTCATTCACTAACAGCAGATGCCAAGAAAAATTAGGCGAGAGGGAAGTTGATGCCAAGCCCCATGCAAAGCCCTTGGGACAAGAATAGTTGCCAATATTGAGTCGAGAACGATGCGGTCAGGCTTCCCAGTACTACCAGCGTAGATCCTGAGGCAAAGACTGCTCGAAAATACCCAGCATCGGTGAGACGCCCGGTAAATACACCAACGACGAAAAGAAAAAAGACTTGCATAGAACCAATCCAGCTAATCTCAGAATCCGACCGAGAAATATGATCTCGATAGAATGTTTGAAAAATGCCGAAAGAGTTGATTGTTCCCCAAGTATTGATAACAACAAAATGGGCCATGAGAGCCTGTGTCCAGGCCTTAACACCGCCGTCGGGGGGCGGTCCATCAAAGTTGTTCTCATATCCAACGCTGAGATGATCTCTTGCTAATTTCTTGGTGTCGGTTTCTTCGTCGGATGTATCAAATATGATGGATTGTGAAGGTCTAGGGCTTTGGCGGGTTGACTTGTCTTTCGGCTCGTTTTTTCCTGAGTCAACCATGACAAGTACAGGACTGGTTTCAGCCATGATGAGATATAATAGGATGAATAACGAAAGGAGGAAGGTACGTTTGGGGCCACTCAAAGAAAGCACAATGAGATTGAAACCCTGAAAGCTTGATTGTTACAATTTTATGACCAATATATAGCATCTTTTGAAGCATTCGCCGGACAGAATGCTCTAGCACGCAAGATTACTAGTGTGAATTTCTTCATATTCATCACCCTTACTCTTGCCGTAACAAACCGAAATGATTGCCCCTTTTTCTGACAATCTTTCTCATCACCTTGTAATATTAAATTTCACATGTCTATAGTTTGACGCCTGAGGCGTTCGAGTTTTCCAGACGAAATCACTAGATGATGTGCTGGTTAAAGGTTTCCCGCACAACTTACCCGGCATTCGGCGAACTTTCCCGCGGAAAGATAGTTCCCCATCTATGTACTGTATCTAGCGTCCTATGTCGATTCTATTGGTACGCGACCTCAAAATGAAATGGGCCTCAGGCCAGTCTGCTTGCCGATCATGGTCCTACGATAAGCTTTGAGCGGTTGACATCGGCACAAGGCATTGTCGGTGTAATGCTAGTTCGATTTCAGTATGGGTCTGGTGGCATTCGCAGGGATGCAGCGTGAACTAAACTAGAAACTGCTCGATCTTCCCCCGCCCTCAGCTGACAAAGATAAGATGCCGCGATCTTTCATCTAAGACTTGCGTCTTGCTGAAATGGAAGGCTTCAGACAAGACCGGGGCGAGGATATTTGTCTGCGTCTCGAGGAGGCCGGTATCATGAACGCATTGAGAGTGCCTAGATACTAGACGTCTGATAGTCTGTGCATGTTAGCTTGCGATTATACCTAGAAGAAGATTTTCTCCCAGATAAACGTATCCCAGGCTTAGTTACGCAAGTTAGTCAGGGCAATTGCGAGCAGTCACTTATCGCGATGGCGCCAGCCGTATAAAAGTCCCCTGCAAAAGATGCTTACGCCATGTTGATTCCGACAACGGGCTCGTAAGAGCACCCGATCATCAGTAGGTCATCCAGTCAATGGGTGTTTATAGAAGCATTCCAGCAAAACAATGTTGGAACTAGTCATAGTAGCTATCCACTAACAGCCAAAAGAATTCAGTGTTTGTTGCATTCAACCAAAAGTCGAAAGGCCCAGCCCGAATCTTTCGTACATGTACGTTAGACACGATCTATCAATCCCTCTCCGTATGTATCTTAAGGCGCCATGACGCTGACCACAGTGGAGGATGTCGCTCCATTTTAGCCTGAGTGACTACGACTCAGACTAATTCAGTAAACGTAACTATTCTTAAAAACAGCACCAAACTGGTTATCGGAAGTTGCCGCTACCATTACACCGGGACAATGGGATAGAGCTCTGCCTCTTGATGCAGGCAGTAATGGCACCACCGACCCAAGTAACGCCCTCGTAGGAGCCATCCTGCGATATAGAGTAATTAGCCTCGGTCAACACGATTACAACGCGGGGATTCGCGTACCTCGTGGCTGTCAGCCATAAAAGTTCCAGTCTGTCGGAGGCTTCCAACACAACCCTGGAAGGTGCGGCCGTATTTGCGGTTGGTCCAGGGGCGAGTGATAACGACACCAGTGTAGCCATTATCAACGGTGCCGCGAATGAGGTAGCCCTGGGTCGTCGTCCAAGTACGCGAGTAGTTGATACCGAAGCTAGTCTTGAGTCGGTCCTTGATGAGACCCAGATCAATGCCAGCAGAAACCTGGACGCTGTTCGCAATAGAGTATGACTTGGAAATGGTAATGTCAATACCCTTACTGCCAGCACCGATGACAACAGGGGACATTTGGACATCCCAGTCAACAAAGCGCTGAGTGCGATCAACAACGGTCTGATAGTTGCTGTTGCAGTCACGTTTTCCAAGCGCGAGATCGGTGTGGTTCACGGATATCTCCGAGAACTCATCACCAGATCTAAGAAAATCATGATCAATGTCTGGAGTCTCGGCCTCAATACCCTCAACCTTCAATAGAAGTTCCCAGGTGTCCTGGGTGATGATGGCAGCTTCAGAATAAATTGAAAAGTCAGCATTATATATCAACAATTCAGATTGGGATTTGCGTACTTCGACCACCCGTTCCAAAAACAACAATTTCTCCCTTGCGGAGGTTGCGATCTAAGGTATCGGTGATGTTGAGGGCAGCATTATTCTTGTCGGCAATGGCGGTTGGCGCAGCGCTGACTGCAGCAACAAATGCAGAGAAGAAGGCAATCCAGATAGAAACCATTTTGAGGGAAACGACACAGAAGTATTACACACCACTGGGACTTTGGTAGATGAGGATAAGAGGAGAGTTGAGATAGTAGATAGCCCTTTGTAGGATTATTCTGAGGCTTTATAGAGATTCTTAGAGTGGTATGTATTCTTCTTCCCGACTCATGCAATACTCTCTTATCGGCTGCGGAACTGTTGGCAGTATTCTCGTGGTCATTGGATCCACGTGGGCTCACGATCGTTCTCGTCCGAATATCTTTCACTAGTCAGGCATGGTCCCTGGAGGAATGACTCAACAGATGGTTGCTGAATGCCCTGAAAGCCAGGTGGAGTCATACGTGATGTATCCTGTAATTTCCGCTGTAGTACTGTTCTCATACACAGACGTACTACCTGCTTAATCGAGTTTAGCAATTTCCAATACAACACGGCTCAGCGGCCGTCACAAGAAGGAAACCGCGAACACTAAGCTTCTTTCTGATAGAACAAGCAATCATCTACACATTGATTCGTCTTATGGACCAAAAGTGTGGAGTTTAACGGCTGGACGAGCGAGTAATGCTTTCACTAAGGTAAACAGTATCTGATAGATTACGAACTCCCTGATGCGGAAAGGGCATTTCATTAAGATATACGAAATTCCAACCCCATGATCTCAGGACAGCTACCATCATTCAATTTCCCTCATTCTAAGATAACAGACCGCAGGATTACTTTAACCTGTGGTTTCGCTGTTCTGCTGGAAAGAGATCAAGTCACTCTCAAAGAAAATCTCTTCATCAACTTCTTCCCTTCTATTTAAACGAGCGTTCTTCTTGCCCATTACTCACTATTATCTCACTAAAATTTCCTTTCCAAACGTCAAGATGCAAATCTCTACCCTTGCGACCTTTACCGTCTTTGCCACGGTGTATGTACACACAACCTTGGGGCAATTAATCACTTATGCCGTATTGCTAACTCGACTTCAGCGCTTTTGCAAAAATGCACAACGCAGCTGTCTGCGTTAAGAACAGGCAGCGTGGTAGCACTGGGAATGGGACACCCTACGGCATCACTTACGGCTCATGGACAGAATACGAGATCGACACTGCGGGTACCCAGTGTGCCTGCAATTACTATAAAAATCGCAACACCGGCAACAACCAATGGGACAAATGCCCCGACTGTCACTTCGATGGTCTTCAGTGCGTTTCCAATGCCTGGCATATCGGCGGAGACGAGGTATGTCATAGTAATTTTTGAAATTGTGTCAGTAGCGCTGACCACCGGGCCTTCTTAGATAACCTACTACTGCGAGAAGAAGTGCGGTAGTCAGGGAGCCGAGGCGAACTAAAAATGTGACAGAGGTGAATGTTTCGACATCACAACCATGATGCTGTATTTGGATTCTGCTCTAGCCGCCAGGATGTGCTCTTGTTTGAGTGTAATTAGTCTAAAACCAGCATAATAAAGTGCGACTGCGATATCGAATGAACCTCTCGCCTAACTTGTGACCTTGATTCTCGCTTGCTTCTTAATGATTGGTGTATTAAAGTTCGCACCAACGCACAAGCCAACTTTTACTTGGCGTTATCGGGAATTTAAAGTGGTGGGTAAAAAGGCAAAAAGGCTAAAAAGGCTGAAAAAAAAGACAAAAAAAAGGTAAAAACTGAAACTTGCGGCTGAGAAGGTGCGATGTATTGTTAAGGCATAGAGGTCCATTCCTTATGTTAACGACACCATCTTCCTTTCCTAAGGCCATACCGCCAGCGAGAGCTATACCTTGGTAATATGTGGATATGATATATGAAAACGCCGGTCATTCTGAGTGATAGGAGTAGGCATGGATGGATGTTTTCAGAAGCCAAGCTTTTGACACGATATCTTATGTAGCTTACGTTTTACTTGGGCAAAAACACCACTTAACCTCAGAGCCGCTGTGACGGTCTTGCATGTCGAGCTTTGCTGCCAACTTTGGTCAGATCCAGCATTGCGGGGTGTAGGGCTTGGGCTCAGACAAGCTGGGGTCCCCCTTGAGAGGGTTATGTTGCCCACGTGCTCGGGGGAACCAATCCTTTGCGCCGTCTGAATTGCCAATATGAGGTATGACTTCTGAGTACTATGGCAAATTCATTTAAGCAAGGGCTTTGCTCTTTGCTGCTCATTCGCCCGCCGATGTAGATTGCAGGGTCCAGGGAGTCACACTAAGCACCAGTCAAGGAGCCGTTTGTTCGGGAAGGAAACATTTGCCCTGCCACGGATAGAGTGATCATATGTACGAGGAGCTCGTCTTCTCAGATCCATATTGCACTCCGGTCTCTTCCAGAAGGTGCAAATTTTGAGCGCCGTCCGATGGAACGGGGACTGTGGAGTTGACACCAGGAACCGGCGAGGATAGGTTTGCCCTGCACCGAACACATAACCAGCTGCCGATCATGAAGTTTCCCGTCTAAAAGCATTGTTTCCGATCGACCTTTAGTCACATCTGATGGAAATTGATGCTTAGGAAAGAAGGTATGGATCACCGGCAAGAGCTCCCTGACTCAGGTTTACAAATGTTCCGCTTCTACCAGGGGATGAATACGGATACTCTCATTTCCTTATGAAAAAAGAGAGGAGTGTCTAGGCCGTTTTGCATTGAAAGTGTTAGCTCGGAACTTCCCTGGAAACACGCAAAGGCTGGGAGGGGAGGTTTGTTCTTCCACCAATCAGACATACGGTGTTCCTTTCCGGGGACTCTCTCGACAACGCCGATGTGGGAATAGCCCTGTTCCAAGCAAGATAAGGCTTTACTCAAGTTCACGACTCGGATGCCGCTCATGTGGATCCAACAATTACTGCACTCCCGGTGGGATATACGTCCTCATTATCTCTGCGTGATCTGTGACTCTGTGTCTGGGTGGAAAGAACATGCGTACCTGTATTTCATTCCAGTAGGCATCACGCACAATGATTCGACCAATCTCGAAAGATGTGGTGTGATTCAAATGAAAGTGACTCATGGAATAATCTAACACATCAAGACATCTCTCCCTTTGAGATAGTGAGGACTGCAGGGGTCGAATGAGGCTACACGTTTGCTCTCTGGGCGAGGGTTGATTATGCGCATCTTTTTCGAGCTGCGAAGTCTCCCAGCATAATACCATCACTGAGCGTGTCCCCAAAGAAATTACCATATGATAAGGCACTAACGAGATGTTAGTACAAACAACTGGAGGAAACGGAGGGTGGCCGAATTGAATAAGCGCGCGGTCAGCAAACGGTTCTCACATGTATTACTGAGCCATTGGGACAAGTCAGATGTGTGACGAGCATTGGAGCCTATCACCGGCACCAACTTGCTTGCACGGCCAGATGTCGTGTTACAGACCCACGGTTTTACTGATTCAACGTGTGTATGAGGCACAAAGGAAGAAAATACAGCCTTTGCGTCTGGACGTCTACCTATGGTATGTTACCTAAGGTACACCTCGTAAGGGAGATGCTTTCTCAAAATGATCAACAGCAAAACATATTTATCAAATATGTGAAGAATTAAGAATATCTACTTCCTAGATGTACATTACTGGGCCGACTAATGCTTCAGCTTGCTCTAGGGAGCCTGACAAATAAAGTATGTATGCCATGATGTAGTATGTCGAGCAGTGAAGAATTGCCTCCAGCGATGTCCCTATTTTCAAGGTAAGTGGCCATAGTTCATAGCTTGAACTGACTATGGAAGAAGCCGCTTCGTACTAATCCCCTTGGTCGACGAGAAGTAGTGGCAATGTAGTAAAAGACTGAGCTATGGGATTCACCATCTCCGATGGCAATGTAGTCCAACGTCTGATAGCGTAGAATATTCCTGATACTTTGCCCAATCGTCCATAAATACCCTAAGGCGGATGCGAGGTTGGCATTCTAGTGTTTGGCATAGTGCTTTCCTGATGGTTTTGTAGAATTACGTCTGGATACGCCTTTCTGAAAAGGTATATTATGAAGCTATCCTCTCGGGTGCTGAGTGGCGTCGGTACTTTTGTACCCGGCTTTCTCTAACGCCGATCCCGTTTTGATGTTTTCAAATGGGTGCATTCTTTGGATTCAAGTCGGTATTTGGTTTTGGTTTATTTTATGCACTACGTGCGTAAAAAAGCTCACCCTATATAAGTATATCTCTATATACAATTTCCTTTTGATAGTGTATACTAGCATATACGTATCTCTTTAAGACAAAAGTCCAAGTCGGTATCAACATAGAAATAGGGAATAATACGTGATTCGGTACTACAACAAGTGGCAATGTACTGACGCCATTCAGCACTCGATGGGATACCTAGTACACGGTGACAAGTTCGAGATAGAGGCTATTATCTTTTCTGTTTTACTCTTGGAATAAACTTGGGAATCACCGCATGAGATTCGTTATGAAACAATGTTATAGGTAGGTACGATAGACAAGGAGTCTCGATGTATCCCATCGCATTACATTTGTGTTTATTGATTCATTTTCGAAGTTTCTCGTGGACCTATCTGAATGCTCCACGGCATAGAGCACCAGGGATGTGATTGCAATGTCTTGTTAAAGACAAATGTGGACGAATCATCAGCGAGATTGTTAAAATCCGCTGGTGGCAAGGAAAAACCTGATGGGTGTGTGGTCGGTTGTGTGGATGTCGATGATCCTGGCGTCGCAAGATCAATGAGAGGGCCGGGACTCGAGGGCGACGTTAGCGACCGCTCACAGCCTTCCAACTTGATACCATTCTCATCTTCGATAATCTTTCTTCCTGCGGCCATCAGAACGTCTCGATCCCAGAGGTTCTCTTTCGGAAGTCCAAAGAGTTGCATCAATCTTAGGAATTTGAGCCTCATTTCGGGGTAAGGACATGCAGACACAAAGTAGAAGATGATGGCGGTGAATCCCATTTCAAACATGAACTGCGGCGACTGCTTTCCGGTGGCAGTCCGAACACCCGTTGGCATCTGAGACTGGAGCCATTCAAGTTGCTTAAGCACCCTTTGAAAATTAGGAAGGAACCTGTCTCTGGCTCTCGGCGTGTCTCCGTCAAATGCCATCTCGATCCATATTCGAGCAGCCTCGTAGCGAGTCAGCATGAATACTTGCATCTTCTTCTTCTGGTACTGCTCTTGGGAACTCAAGCGTTTCCCGCTCGCATCGACATGATGTATTTTGGCGACGAGCTGGGCAAACATATACAGCCACTTCTCTAAAAGATTCTTGACAATAGCTTGTTCGGCCCGGTGGTCGTCAGAACAAGGGGGTTGTATTTCGATCCCCTCTCGCTCTACATCTGTTCTTTGTCCTGTCTCGGCAATGA